TTTTTTTTTTTTTAGCTCTTTCAATAAAAGAATACATATTTTACGGTGGTAAATCGGCGCTGGTATCGTGTGGAGATGGACGTGAGAAAGTCCCGCGTGCAGGGAAACGGCGTGGCTGAACCCTCACTCCCTCCCGCGGGCAGCTTCAGTCCACGATTAATGCGGCAAAATCGGTTGTGACAGCAGACGTCCTCCCCGGACTTTCTAACGCTTTGAAATTAATTTACTGATTCGTTTCTTCTCTGCTTGGGACCGACTGTACGCGCCTTTACGCACGGTACGTCCCCCGAGGCGCTTTGTCTCAGCCCGCAGACAGACTAAAGCACAACACGGAGAGGGACACGTACCGGGAAATATTCCACTCAGAGGCCACTTTAAACGAGTAGAAACTTTTTTTTTTTTAATATATCTATTTAAAGCCGGCTTATATTGTCCCGTTGAACTGTCCATGTGCCAAACTGAACTTTTCCCCCTAAATATGGCCAAAGCTCTGATGTGAACACCTAATTTTTCTCCTCTTAAATGTAGTAAAAATTGTTCCAAGTCGAATTAAATCATATCATATATAATACATATACATACATATACACACATACATACATATATATATATATGTGTGTGTGTTTGCATTTTTTTTTCTCCTGTTTGTTTTGAAATAATAAATACAGAGTAAAGAAGCCGTCTTACCTCTCTGTGATAAAGTCCCGGCTGAAGCAGGAGTGGGAAAACATCTGGATTTGGGTCCTTTTTGGGCCGAACCGACTGCGGCTGAGGATCCTCCATCTGAGCGGATTATCTCCTGAGCTTTGAAGTCTCCGGCCTCCCCTCACCGGTGCCGCGCGGCCTCTGCTCCGTTTCCTCCCGGTGTCTCCCGGTGTCTCTCCGTCCCTCCGGAGGCGCGCGCGGCTCTGCGCAGCATCGTTTTAATAATAAGCACCGACAACATCCCCGCAGATCCCGCTCCCAAAACCCTGCCGGCGGAGGGACAAAACTTTTCCCCCTCCTCTCCTCGCCGCCTAATCCCAGGCTTTACCAGCTCAGCATTAAGAAAATTCAACTGCAATTTGGGATTAGACAAAATACTCTTATTACAAAAGGTTGGTGCAACTTGATAACTTGATACTTGTTCAGGGGTTTATCTCGAGGTCTCACATCGAAAGAGGGAAGAAAAAAAAAAACAAGAAACGCGGGGAAATGTCAGAATAACCGTCTCTTTTGTGTTGCAAGGGCCATATTTGTTGAATGGCCTTTTTGCATAATTTAACGGGAGCCTGTGTGAGTGCGTGTGCGTGAGTGTGTGTGTGTGTGTGCTTGTGAACCAGAGGGGTGTTGGTATTTGGGTCTTTGCCGTCTGGCTGCTCGGACCTCTGATAAAGTGAGAATTGAAAATGATAAACAAAGAAAACGGGCCTTTGATACGTACATAAAACCCCTTAAAGCTGCTTTTTCTGAATTTCCCCCTCGAGGATTTAAACGTTGGATCGTGTGTGTAAAAAAACAAACAAACGCAGAGAGGTGCGTTCAGGTGCTCACAGACTCACAAACAGCAGCATCTCTACAGGCCTCCAACATTTCTCTAAGTTTCCTCGTCAAAAAGCTCTTGTCGATGACTTTTAAGTCCCATCGGCCTCAGCTTTGATACCCCTCCTCCTCCCTCACACACACACACACACACACACACACACACACACACACACACACACACACACGTATAAAAATGTAATTTCCATCCCCTCTCAGAAGCATCAGCTCGCTTTCAGCTCGGGCCTCATTTACAGAAGTTTTTTGAAGAGATCCACAAAGAGAAGCGGAGTGTTTCTGAGCTTCATCCGCGCGACCCTCACCGCCACGCGGCCGCAAACACAGGAAAACACGCGGTTTGTTTTCAGTGCGATAGCTTTAAAACACACACGCACACACACACACACAGAAACACACATTAAAAACATCAACATGCAGGATTTGATTCAATGACCGAAGCTTCTGGTGCGGATTTTTCCCTTTTTCTTCCTCCGTGAGTTGGAGGTCTTTCCCTATTAAACTTTACGTCAACCATCCTCAAATGTAATTCTAAATGGGGATTAAACCTCATTAATATTCATGAGATTTGTCAGTGTGTGTGGAGGGAGAGTGAAAGAAAGAGCAGAGAGGGGGGTGTCACTATAAAAAATCAGAACGTACAAATTTAACTTCACTTCTCTGTTTTTATCTTCGCTTTGCTCTTGGGGAAAACATTAAAAGGGAACAAAAAAAACTATAGAAATAAATCAAATGAGGGGCTGCTAATACTTTACGGCCTTTTAGCAAAACGTGCTGGAACTGAAGCGTTTTTAAAACCTAAAAACTTTTTCTTTGTGTCCTGGCCTCTTTTTTTCCTGGTTAATTCAGCCCCTTTGAGCTCTCGCGCGTTTGAAGGAAAAGGTCAGGTTTGCAGGTTGAAATGAAACTCGGTGTGTTTAGTTTGCTTACATCTGCCGTTAAAGCAGCTGCAGAGCCGCGCGCGTGCGTGCAGATATAATGTTTAGCAGCTTTTAGCGGCTTTTAGCTTCTTGCTCTGACCGGTTTGCCTCTTTCGGCTCTGCCCGTCTCCGCTCAGGCCCGAGACCCGTTTCCATCTTTTTAAAACCGCTCCGTGCTTCCTCTGGTCTCGGGACCGAGGAGAGGAGGG